CAATTTTTTTTGAGCTGACCCGTTCAAAAAATAAAAGGGGGGGGCATTAAAGAAATGCACTGTATAAGGGCTAACATCATGATTTATTTTCATTTCTCTGTATTTCTTTGAAAATGTCTCTATAGGACCAAACTGCAGTATTGTTAGTTACAATTACAAGTGGTGGAAAAACATGGAAAGTTTTATTTCTCAGTTTTCACTGAAAATCATATTGTGAGCCCGATATGAGCTACTGTATACTCTTATTGCTGATTTCTATCTCTTTTTCCCCATTATTCTCTTCTTCTACGAAAATGGCATTCTTTGTTGGATCGGTTCTGTGAATTATTCAAATAAATCTCGAATTTCATTGCAGACACTTTCTTAATGTGTGGTTTGATTACGTTATCACAGTGCATATTTATTTGCAGTTGATAACTGTCCAGGAAACGGCAGAATCACTCGATTTGTTCTCTTATCACCGCCGACTACGTTCTCATTTAAAATAAATCCTTGGCCTATAAATGAGTACATTTGGAATTATTTCTCCGCGTGACCTCAACGAACTCGACCACAAATGGAATCGGTAATAAACCATGCTGTTGTTAAAATCAATATTTGTCGGTGAAATCTTTGATTTTTGTTTTATTTTTTTAAATATGTGAATTGAAATTGTCATACTCGAAGCCTGGATTCCCTTAAAATTCATTAAAGCCATAATTTGAACTTGGGATATAATTTTCATCACTATCAAAATTATTTTTATGTTGAAAATTTTTTGCCAAAAAAATTATCCTNGATAACTATTATTTTAATCAATAGCAATACTGAACTGAAGGAAGATACAGCTGAAACAGCTTTTCTCTTCAATCAATCCTTCATTGAAGCTTCTATTGATCTACCAAAATCTATACCAAGAACTGGGAATCTTAGGCTAATTGATGATTTCAATACGGAAGTCATGCACCTACAGCCCTTTACATAAAAAAAAACGGAATTCACATGGAATCTTTTATATTACATTAATAGTTCATGTCAAGATTGTGTTGCAACTTACATAGGACAAACAGAACGTTATCTCAGAAAACGAATTGCAGAACATTAAAGAGATACAGTAACAACCAACTTGAAACTTAAGAAAAACAAAACTTCTTCAGCGCGACTCCAACAAGTTACCATAATTGTATGTTGAAAATATAAGTAATATTACCAAAGAATTCAATCCAAGATAAAGACTTGTAAATGAAATCACATTAAGGAATTGCAATCGATATCTAAGTTCTGGGTTCATCTGTAATGAGATGTCTTTGTATGCAATGAATAATTTTGTATCGTTAGCAAGAGTGATATATACAGGGGGTCAATTTGGGAACTTCTCCCTTCGAGTAAAACATATGAGTTATCTAAAGAACAGGTCAATTTTATAGTCAATGGGAAAAGTTTCAAGGACTATTAGTCTAGGTTCCCGCTGCAAAATCACTACGTCCATGGCGTAGTCAACCAAACTCAGATTTTTACATACATTTATGAATAGGAAAATACATTTATGACAGATTGCCAGTCAAACATTGGCCTACAATATTTTTAATTGAAAACATCGTGTATGCTTCGAACCACATGAAGTAACATCTTCAGCTCCATCTATATGTATGTAGAAGATATTAAGGGTGTGAAGTTTTAAAATTGACACCTTGTATAATGTGTCATAATGAATTAACATAAACATTTATAATCCGGTCAATCTAGACATTGAAAGGTACGTAAATTCACAACAAGCTGAAAACGCGTATAATTGTTCAGAACATAAAAAATAATATTTTAAAATTCCGAATGATTGCGATGTCTGGAAAAAAATTTATTCGAAGTCAAAGGTCAAAAATCTTGAAAAAAATTGGTTTTATCATAAAATAAAAAATGTAAAAAGGTATTGATCTGAGTCATAACCTTCAAATACTTCTTCTTGTCGTTCTTCTTCTTGGTCTTCTTCTTATTCTTGATCTTCTTCTTCTTCTTGATGTTCATCCTGGGTGTAGGTAAACTGCGTCAAGAGTGATGTATTGCATGTTTCCTCCTTGGTATCAAATGAATCTTCCACTATTGGTGATTCAGCAGTAGAACATGACTGGCCTTGACAATGTGTACATGCCAGAGACCAACGTTCAACCCCAGTCTTTTGGGTCTAGCTGATAACCAAGCCATACTTGAACTTGGTAATATACCCGGAAAAGATGTTGATGAGCAGCAACTGAGGTTGGAGGAAGACAAGCTCACTGCACCTGTTTCTTATTTTTAGTGTTTTTTTACGAAACATGCATACCGATACTTATCTAAGCAGGTGTTTTTTTCGGAGCTTTGTACATAGAAAGAAGAAACTGAATCCCGTTGGTGATAATTTCTTGTTGAGTCGAGTTACTTTTTTTGAAAACTCCAGCACGTTGAACCAAATCTTGTTTTTCAAACATTTTGAAGACTGTGGCTTTACCCCTCCTGTAAAATGCAGACGTCGTATCACAGCCAGTTATTGCGTATATAAATAGTACATGATGTTGACTCTTTGCAAAAGTAGATAAACGACGAATATATTTCGGTTTGACTTTGAGCTTTTCCTGGCTTTAGAAAGAAAATAGTTTTTTCAGGTTCAGAGTTCGAGCAGTAAGAAGAACTAGTAAGTCTACATCTTCACCAACAACAATAGTTGTATTTGTCAAATTGAATTGCTCTATAGATGTTTCAATAATCAGTACGTCGGCATCGTTATTAACCTTACAACTTTTACAACTTTTTGACTCGTTGTATCTCAGGAACGGTGGCTCTGATAAAAAAAATTTTGATACATTTTTTGTGAAGAATTCCATGATCTTTAATTTGTATCTGAGGTTATTTTATGATAAAACTTACCGTTTTCCTGAAAATCGTAAAAAACCATTTTTTTTACAGGCATCGCAATCATTAGGAATTTTAAAAATCTTATTTTAAACTATGTTTTGAACAATTACACGTATTTGCAGCTTGTTGTAATTTTATGTGCCTTCACTCTAATTTTTTTAGTCTAATTTGACCGGACTATTACATATGTTGGTATAAATCTCACCAGAGTAACCTTGACCTTGACACATGCTCCACCTTATCATTCATTTATCCAATATTTTGTATCAGTTCTAATCATTACTCGATTCCTGGTATGACAAGGAAGTCGATATTCCTCGTAAATATCAACAAAATCCTTGTCTCTTATTCAAAATTTTATTCGACTATTGAGTAAGTCCATGCTCTCCGTGTTTCCTCACAGTTGGATTAGGATGTTATCATTCGAGTTCGAGAAGGAATTGCCCGAAATTAAAAATAATAAACAAGTTTTTAGACAAATTAATATATAAATAAAAATGAGAAATTAAACTTTCTATCAAAAAAGGTTGGGTAACAGAATCAATTTAAAAAAACAATTGTTTTCTTGCCAACGTTTCGAATTCAAATGAATTCTTCTTCAGGACTCGAAAAGTAGTTTTTTCGTGTTAATATTGTTATTTTGAAAAGTATTAGACATATTAGATACAATCGTTTGTTCATTGTCGTTCTGTGTCGATGTTGTCTCGAAAATTTGTTGTTGCAATGTTGCAATATAGCAATATATTCAACTTTTAAATATTCTCAATATAATATCAATTTAGTATTAGTACAATAATTAAAGAATAGGATAGGAGTTCGGTTAGGTTAGGTTATATTTCAATTGTGCATTCTTATTTATATGCGCCGGGACGTAAACTAGTCAATCCCCCCAAGGCATAGGTCTCTAATAGGTACTTTAATTTAGTACGCATTAAGGGCAAAAAAATCTTCCAAAAAACCTGTCGCTTTGCTATCAGTGATATCAAAAATCATGGAGAAAGTCGTAAACCACCATATCCTCAAATATTTGGAAGGCTTCAACATCTTGAGTTATCATCAATGTGGCTTTCGGAAACAAAGATCAACAGACGACCTTCCATCTTTTATCTTTTCGGAGAAAACCGATGCCTGGGTTTTTTTGGCATTGAATTGAACCTGGTTACTGTCACCCCAATTCGAAATCACTTTTAGATCCCCATTAAGATATGCATCCTCCTGCTGTCGGTGCAGATGTGCCTCTATCGTTGATATACAATAAAAAGTGGGTTGGAGACAATATGGATTCCTGGTGAACACGCCAGAAATATTCATCGAAGGCCACTTGAAGGAATGTTCTTTCAGGAAGCTGGAGAGCCATACACAAAAATGATCCGACAAGCCATAGCATGGAAGTTTGGCCAGCAAACCCTCATGCCAAACACGGTCAAAAGCCCTGAAATATCAAGCGCAACAGCTCTTGATTCTCCATGTTTTTCGATTGCGTTATTCCAAATATGGGTGACATAGGATAGAAGGTCGCCTGTTGATCTTTGTTACCGAAAGTCATATTGATGATCGTTCAAAATGTTGAATATTTGAATATTTGAGAATATGGTGGTGTATATATGGTTTATATTTCTCCAACCCACTCAGGGATCATCTTCAATATCTATCCTGATTATTGTTTTGATTTGGTGTTCACTATCAAATATTTTTTTCTTGTAGCTGTTCATTGCTGTGTCTATTTTATCATCAGATGTAGCTGTCAAATACCTAATGTGCCAGTGTGAGTTGCCCTTCTGAAATATACTTTATGATCTAAGTGGTCTCTGAATCCTGACACTAGAACATTCAGGATTGATAATTGTCTGTCCACCTCGGTCTCGCATCGGGGAAACGCCAGAAAGAAGTTCCATCAAACCACGACCCAAAATCCCGAAACCATGTACAGTTTCAAAAGATGGACGCGGAATCCTGAACGTTTCTACACTGTGTGAATGTACATTCATCCAGAGTTTCCAGAAATCACCCCCTGAATTTATCGACATTACTCAGGGTTTGGAATCACTATTCAGATTTGATGGTTATCATCAAATATGTTTTCCTGTCGTTTCCTTCGGCCTCTCACATACATTTGAAATTTATTTTTGTTTCAGATCTCGGAAGACCAAAAAGTCGGCGACGACATTGAAGTATTCGCGAAAATCACCAATTACCACGCTTATACGGCGCTGAACGCGAAAAACCACTTCCGCGCTCCCACCGAGTGGGGCATCATCCTGCGGCCGAATACCACCGTCACGACGGCGAACACCGACGAAGACGCCTCTTCGACCACCTCCGACCAAATTCGCTGCCTGGCCTGCGACTCGGAGCGCGTCCGGTCCTGCTGGATTGTAGCGATGAGGCTGGCCAAGGTGAGTTTTTTGTGCCATAGTTCTAGTAATGTGTACATGTGGGCGATTGTCAAAATAGTTGAAATGAACTTGATAAGGAATTAAATTTCAAGGTATATATATATATATAT